GTTACTTGAGCCATCTCATCAAAACAAGAAGAAAAGCAAAAAGGTCTTCCGTGTCTTCCGCTCCGTTTTCCGTTCTTTTCCGATCATCACACCGGCGGCTTGCAAAATCCCGGTCCTCCCGGGCGGTAGCTTACCTGACCCGCATCGAAGCAGCTCAAGCGGGTCAAGAGTTACCGGAACGTTATTCGGATACCGTAAAGGCCGTGTAAGCCTCTCGATTCAAGAAAGCCCTAGATGTTTACCATCTCTCGTGGTCGAACTTGCAATGCAAACAATGGTTCTACAAAAAGAGCTAAGTGGTGGGATGGTTAGGATCGCTTTAGAGACGGAGAAACGAGGAGATAAAGAGAAGATCAAGATAATGGACGAGCCGTTATGGACAATGTATTGTAACGGTAAGAAAACGGGGTACGGTGTGAAGCGTGACGCGACGGACGAAGATCTTAACGTGATGGAATTGTTAAGACCGGTTTCGATGGGTGCAGGAGTTTTGCCGGGGAATTCGGAAGTTGAAGGACCTGACGCGGAGATGGCTTACATGAGGGCTTACTTCGAACGAGTCGTTGGGTCTAAAGATTCAGAGACATTTTATATGTTGAGTCCCGAAGGGAATAATGGACCAGAGCTTAGTATATTTTTCGTAAGAGTATGATTTGATGTGTAATGGTTCGGAGACTTATGGGAACGTTCTTGATTGTATATGGACGTACGGATGATAGCCGGAACGAGATCGATCTCTGTTTGTGCATGAGTTGTGGTTGATATGTGATTATGTGATCATGATGATATGTGTGTATTCTTTAGGATGATTTATAAGAAAATATTTCAGGTTAATGTATCTGCAAATTAGTTTAGGTTTAAATTGTTTCTGTTATGAACCGACTAGTATTTTACATGAATGATATCATTAATTGGGGAACGACGAAACCGTAAACAACAAAATATGAGTAAAAAAACAAAAACTAATGCAAGGGAATTTTTTATTTTTTATTTTTACTTTAAACAAGAACAAAATTTTCTTTTCACATAAGTCTACTGAGTTTACACATGAATAAAACCGTACCACTATCACCATTGACGCTTGTTGAGTGGGATCACCTGATCATATATGTATCCAATTATAATTGTCCAATTTTATCTGACAATTGTAATTCTAATCATCTGTTTAGATCAACTGAATTTATTTTAGTAGATTTTATTATTATATAAAGTTTTATGTGTTTAGTTTTGTTATTAACATGAGTGTCAGTTAGTCAATAATTTTGTTTCCAGTTAAATTTTACCACATATTAAACAATTTTTTTTTAAAAAACTTATTTTTGTTTGTATATTTAATTAGATTATATAAAAAGCAACATATATCAATGTATGTTTATGACCTAAAGGGACTAATCTATGAGGGGAACTACTATTAAAACATGAATAATTTATATGCCGGAAAAACAAAAGTATATTTTTATTTGTTTTTGTCGCAAACAAAAGTATTTATAGATTTTAAATTGAGACATTTAAAATAAATAACACGCCAAAATAATTTATATTACTAAACAATAAATTACGCGTCAAAAATTAAAATTAAGTGAGTAACAAAGTATAATGCCTCAGATTTACAAGTTTTTAATCAATCATATTTAAAATAAATAATGTGCCAAAATAACTTATTATTGAACAATAAATAACGCGCTAAAATTTTGAATTGACTGAATAAAAACAGAATGATTTCATATTTATAAGTTCTTAGTCAATCACTACAAATAAATAGCGCACCAAAATAACTAATTATTAAACAAGAAATAACGTGCCAAAATTTTGAATTGACTTTAAAATTATACTATGTTGTTGAAAAAATTGTAAGATTGAAATAAATATGAAAAAATTCAAAAATTGCCACTTTTCAAGTGCCACTTTACAAAAATGCCACACTTTTGAAATCTTTACAAAAATACCACTTTTTTCAAAATTATTTTTTCTTTATATTATATATGTTTGGGTTAATTATGTTCTATTAGGGTTTAGTTTTGAGTGTTTAGGGGGTTTTAGGTGTCAAAACATT